TGACCACTGGGCACAGAGCAGGAACATGGACTAAAGTCTAGACAACAACTGCTCTGATTCATTTACTATTTTCTCATCAAACACACATACATGACCAGACCAGTCAGTTTGGACACACTTATTCATGTATGATCTAGGTGTCCATTATTATTCACATTATAGATTCGCACTGAAGGCATCAAAACTCTGAAATGTGCATAGGCTTTACTCTTTTGCACATTTTTGGTTTTCCCCCTACAAACCCTGACATATCACACATGTGAAGCAAACATCTGAGCATCAATTTGACCAGAAAGAGCTGGCTTAGCCTGAACTACAGCAGGTGAGCTGATTTGTGCTGTCAAACATTACAGTCACACGCTCGATAAACAATGGTTACATGGGATTTCCTTTAGTCATTCTCACTTTTTTGTTGAAAACTAGGTCTGTAATGATAATAAATCAATTAATTGTACGATACATTCTATCGAGTGCGTTAAAAGTTATCTTGGCCGGAAAAGTTATTTGCATGTTTGTTTGTGGAGACATCGGGTGTTACAAAAGACTAAGGGCATACTGAGCCAACCTAACCATGTTCTGCACTCACAGTTCATGAAAATGCCCTCTGGGAGGCACTATGTCACCCCACAGCAAAAGACTAACCGTTACACCAAATCTTTTATTCCTTCTGCCATAAGGCTTTTAAATGGAAAATGAATTTGTTCCGGTGTCCCTGATGCTCTGTGGTTTGAACGTCTGGTGTCTGTCTTTCTATTTCTTTATTATTTATATTTATATATTGTGCGTGACCAGATATGTGCGAACTGAATTGCCCTTTGGGATTAATAAAGTTGTTGATTGATTGATTGTTTGTTTTCCTCGCTCTCTCGCTCTCGCTCTCAAAGAGAGTGAATGTTAGAAGCTTCTATCGCTCTCTGACTCCTCTCGTTTAACAAGTGTAATGACGCTTGAACCACATGCGCTGTCTTTATCAGCACAGCAGATGCGCGCGTAGTCTGCGTGCAGAAAGCGCCGCTGTCTGTGCGGCTAACATGAAGCCGCACCACAAGCGCCGCTGTCAGAGTGACAGAACAGTTCATCATTGAGTGCCAAAACAAGTCACGATGCCGAATCAGCACTGGTGAGTGGGACACGTCTCAACAGCCATGTGCGTCAAATACAGCGAGCACAAACGACGACAAGAAATGTCTCAAACCCCAGCAGTCGATAAACCCAAACCCGAGTGACAGAACAAGCCCCGCCCCCCGGGAGAACCCGAAATCCACTGAAATCCCATAAGACACCGACACGACACCAGACAGGACAGAGACTCCCTCATAACGAAACAGCATCCTGTGTCACAGGTTCATACGAACATTTAAATGATCAAAACTGCCGAGGCCACAACAGCAGCCACAGAGAGAGACACAATATACCAATGTAAGTCAATGAATAAAATCACTTTTACGGGCAATTTTGTTACAGAAACTTAATAATCCATTTTATTTATTGCTTTGATTGTATTTGGTTCAGCAATGTTTTATTCAAGTGCATTTTCAAGTCCTCGCTGTGAGCAAGACACATTATGTTAACAAGTCTGTTTTATTTAGGCCTGTTGTTTTTGGTTCTTACAGTTCCTGTGTTAAATGTTATTTATAAAATAAAATTTATTGATCTTTGAAAGGATGTGTTTGCATTTTTATTCCATGGTCATTATAATAGTTGAAATTGGTCTCAAAATGTCAATATTATCATTTATTGAAATAAATTCTTGGTCAATTAATCGTTTAGCAAAACCTGTTATTGTTACAGGCCTATTGAAAACCAAACTCCTAACGGAACCATGAACACTCGTATTCATCACTGGCTCATGAAAATCATGGTAACTGCTAAATATTCTGCTAAAGACATACATGCAGTACACCCCAGTGCGATGCTGCTATAAAGTATCAATGAGAAAAATCATATTTAAAAATACAACCATCTATGACAACGATATGCGCCCATCCACAGCTGTGTTCCCTTCAAAGCCGTGAGGGAAGACAGTAGACATTTTGTGTAGGATCCGTTTTGCACTGAAGTGTTCAAATCAAAGTTAATCAAGAGCTGAGATTAAAGGCTAAGAAGAAAAAAAGTGCAAATATACAGTATGTGTGTAGAGTTGGTTCAAATATGTAGATTAAAGAGATTTGATGATGTAAATCATAGAAAATCCTGTAGTCCCTGCAGTGTCCTTTTTCCTGTGATGTGCTCAATCTGCAGCCAAAACCATCAGCCTGAGACACAGGATAGAATAAAAACACTATATGGACACTCGCTGTGACAAACAACTGAAATCACTGAAAAAAAAAACTGATCAAAACAAGTCAAAAGTGCTCTGCAAACTACAGCTAATGTTACAAATCTGAACACACTCTGACATTCTACTGTGACACAAAAGGACAGTGCTGCCTCTTCTCATGCAAACACCAAACAAACCATGGAGGAGATGCAGGATGATGATGATCATGATCATGATACAAGACACAGTTTGGATGAGACGAGACACAACCTGAGATGTGGTTCACAAGGAAAAAGCAAGACCACATTGTGACATGTGACTGAACTTCAGTTTACAAATGTGGCCTCATCATTTCTGTTTCATATTCCTGCTGTCATTGTAGCAAGTTTAACCAAGAAAACAGAACCATTTCATTTGCCCCATTCCAAATAATAGTAGGCTATAATCTTTTAGATTCAACTGTAGTCACAAAACCGTTCAATGTCTAAAGTCGTAGGACATGTAACCTTAGGGGGACCAGATTTTCAAAATTAAAAGTGTGACAGTCCCACTTTGGGGTGGTTGGTAAAGAGTAATAATAGAGCGAATAATTCTTACGCACTCTGCCTGTTTTCAACTCACTTCTGAGTCACTAGTTCACCTGAGAGTCCCCGTCTGCTCATTTTCAAGTTTTCTGTATTTTAGTTAAACAAATGAGAATATATTTCCCTCTTGACTGTTGGCGAGGATCACACTGGTCTAGAATAGAGACACCTGGGACATTTCTTGAATAAAACTTGCAAGACACAGGTTGTATATAAATCTGTTGGGACAGAGGACACGGGCTCAGATGGGACAGAGGACACGGGCTTAGATGGGACAGGGGTCAATAGGGGACACATGTGTGTAGGAATGGGGTGAATTAAGTAAAAAGTAAACAAACTCAGCACAGCATTTAAAGAAGCGTGAAGCAAACGCACGGACGTGTTTGACGCACAAGTCAGTGGATGAACACACATTTACAGTTCAGAGGCTGTTATGTGGCTGCATCATAAAACCAAGGCTCAGCTTGTTCTCGTAAAAGCACCACACAGTTACTCGTGTCCGGTAAAAACATCAGCCCACACACCCTCAGAGAATGTATGAAAACGCACAGTCGCTCCAGCCAATAGGAGAGCACGAAACAGCAGAGCCCGCCTCCAGAAAACATCCATTTAACCAGAAGATTCCAGACTACTTTGTACCACCAACACAATTCTTCTAAAGCAAGAAAATCCCATGCAGACAACTCTTTAAATCACTCAGAATATTAAAGCTCAATATTTATAATAGATCTGATTTCTCTGTAAAAACTGGGAGATCTGGGGTATTTTTGTTGTAATACATACGATTTGAGGAGGTTAGACTTTAGTGGCCAATTATCAATTAATTCTTAATTCTAAATCTTATCTGTGACAGCTCAGACCTTTAATGATACATTCCATTTAAAATTGGTTTACTGGGATCATTCTTTTTTTTTTTTTAAATATTTGGTCAGTGGCATGAAGTAGTTTCAATGTCTTCATTTACATCTCTGTCATATCTCTGTTTTATCAAATCATAAACAGAAAGAGAAAAAAAAGAAGCTTCTCACTGGTGTAAAAAAGGTAAAAAAAAATAAATAAATAAATAAATAAAAGGTGGGAGAAGTACTGAAAAATGGATATTAATGCTATTGTTGTCTTGGAGAAGTGCAAAAGACAAATTTTGAGTATTTGGCCTATAATTCAGACGATTCAAAACGACCTCAAAGAGACAGAAGCATCAAGCGCTGCCTCCTAAACATGAGGAGAACGTGACAATTCATTTCCTGGTCCATTTATGATTTGTGACATACTTGAACCTCAACCAAGACTTTTACAGAGGACGGTAGTCCTCAGTTACAAAGAAAAAAGAAAGAAATTGGACTCTTCTAGCAGCATACTTTTACTCTTGAGTAATAGATATTTTTGAAGTCACAGTACAGTTACAGTAAAAGTTGTGTTTCTTCTTCCCACGCTGACTGAGTCTAAAGTGACAAAAGCTTTATGTGACAATCTGACATGCTTTGAACATTTGTGTTTTTTGAAACTTCTTCACATATGATTTAGTTTGTCTCTTTTCGTGTCCAGATTTTGTGCATTATTGAATCTTTTGTTCTTCAAATTATATTATCTTCAAATTTTCTCTTTCTTGAGTCACTTCTTGGACCATTACTTTGAATTATTTTAAAGTAATGTTGAGTACAATTTGTGGTTCCTCTACTCTGCCTCTAATAGTAAAGATATTGTCATCAAAACAAAATACAAATATTCATTTTTGTCAGTACCTCCCACTCCTACATGATGTGCCGAATATTTAGTATAGTAAACAGAGTACACGTGTCGTGTACTGCAGGGCAGGTCCTCGGGTGCCAGGCCTCTTTTTGGCACAGGGGGCACAGTTGCCAGGTCTGCTACTTTACAGTGCCTTTGGGCTTGTTTCTTTTATGATGTGAAAGTGCCAGTGTTTTTTTTTCCGATGTGTGTCATGATCACAGAGCAGCAGACAGAAGAAAGAAGGAAATACAGACTGTTAAATATGCTCTTCAAATACGTGCATCTGATTAACACTGGTTCAACAGCTTGGGTACTTGTTTTGGCACAAGACCGACCCTGACAGGACCGACCCTGACAGGACCGACCCTGACAGGACTGACCCTGACAGGACCGACCCTGACAAGAGGCAGGAGCAGAGAACTCACCCTGATCCTCCTCATGGCAGCCACGATCTCCACACGACTGCTGGGCCGGGCCACGTCCAGACTCCCGATGTACTGAGAACACAACACACACACAGTTACACACATAGTTACACACTACACACACACAGTTACACACTACACACACACAGTTACACACTACACACATAGTTACACACTACACACACACAGTTACACACTACACACATAGTTACACACTACACACACATAGTTACACACTACACACACATAGTTACACACTACACACATAGTTACACACTACACACATAGTTACACACTACACACACATAGTTACACACTACACACACATAGTTACACACTACACACACATAGTTACACACTACACACACATAGTTACACACTACACACACAGTTACACACTACACACACAGTTACACACTACACACACAGTTACACATTAGGTTTTACAATGGCACTTCCTGGTTGGACACAGCAGCAGATGTGATCTATGTAGCGGTACTCCCATAACTGTTACCTAGCAACCACAATGTAAACAAGGGCCATAGCTTGTCTAAATGACACATTACATTATGATTAGAATAATGCAAATGACAGTAACACACAGTTACACACAACAGCACACAGTTACTGTGTGTAACTGTGTGCTGTTGTGTGTAGTTACAGTTACACACAATAGCACATAGTAACGCACAGTTAACACAAGTTTTTTTTGTTTTGTTTTTTTCAATGTTAATATTCCATGATCAAGTGGTATCTCTGAGCACACTCAGACAGACGAGCCCTCCTGCTCCACCTCAAATGCAGATACATTCAGTTTTCACTTTGTTTGTTTGTCCTGTTTGTTTAAGTCATGTTCATGTAAAAGGAGAATACAGAATCTGTGTTGGCCTCAGCCCAGCTCCAACTTGAGATAAGTTTGTTTACTTTTATAATGTCCATCAAACAGCCTGCATATATATGACATATACATGTCATCAGCTGGTTTGGAATAAAATGTTTGTTGGCTTTTATTTTCACTTGACTCCCAGGTCTTCCCATGGCACAGGGAGCATCTACAGCAGGTACATATCACTGCATTCCTCTTTGTGTGTTTTTCAGAACAAATCCTGAACCTGCAGTGAAGCTCGAGCTGTAGAAGAATGACCATCATTTCACTCTACTGTGACACCTGTGCGTGGAGAACGGGGTTTAAACTCTTCCTCTGGAATCAGAGCCTCTGCTTATGTGTGCTGTTCTGATGTGACAGAGGTCCCCTCCTCAGAGTTTCTCCCTGACTGTTCAGTGAGGGAACACAGGAGGACCTGAGTGTGGCCCTGAATGACTTGTGCTTGTGCACAGTGAGTTCTGTTCCATACAGTCTCACTGACAGACCAGATTGAAAGTGAATAATCATGGTGGTTAAGCATGCTCCTTTTAAATGATCAGGTGCATACATTAAGGTCAGGGTGGGCCGTAAAAGCTCCAGATCTGGTTAATCAATTATGTAATTTGAGACAGGTTCACCAATGCTGTGTCCTGAACTAGAGTTATTAAACATTCTCTTTTATCTTTCAGGAGATGCAAAGTTTCTGGTTGATTCAGCTCAATAATATGATCAATTGAAAGATATATTTGTAATAAAATGGGTAAATGACAAATTATAAGTGTCATGTGTATATTTTAAAAATACTCACACAAATGATAACAGTCACAGCACAAAGCAGCACAAGCAAAATACAAGGGCTTTGTAGAATTTTCTGCTGTTTTTGAACACTATTTAACATTTTGAGGGACTGAATGAAACAATAAAAATCTGATAATATCTTTAGAACTACAAAAGCACAAATGAGCACAAAACAGCACAAATGAAGCACAAAATACTGACATAAGTTTGTGTGGTTTTAGAGCATTTTGAAGCTTCCTGGGGCCTGGCCCCCATTTGACCTATAAAAGAATCGTTAATATCTCCAAAACTAAAGCTGCCCAAACAAAACTTTTTAAAACACAAAGGAAGCACAATTGACAGTTTTTGTGTAGGTGTGCGTTTGTGCGTTTGATGGAGGGCCAACTTCATGGAGGTCCTAAAGCTGGACTACGTCACTTTTCTGTAGGAGCCTGCGCCCCTTGCTTGTCTCCATGCTTGGCCTAGAATGTGCTATAGGAAATCAGCTGGAAGGTCCCCAAGCCGGAAAGTCCCCCTTTTGCGTTTCAATGACCTATGAATGAATGAATGTTTCTGACCTAAGTGTAGAGCGTGCTGGAGCATATCACCTGGGCAGAACATCACTCAATCACCTGTGGTGAGCGAGTGATGAGGGAGTGAGGGCTACAACTATTTCAGAAGTTTATCTAACATATTTCAGTAGAATACATAATTAAGACTTTCCTAAAAGTGATTCTGAATGATTTTTGAACAAATTCTGTAGCTTTCTAAGTTTCTTGTGTTGCACTGCTTACAAATTATGCTCATAGCAGGTAAGGAAATAATTCATATTTCTTCCTAAATCAACAGTTACAGATGCTGTAGGACATGGGCAACAAGAAACTATTATTTAAAATATGATTTCAAAGTAAACACCTGTGACCAAATGAGGATTATATTGATATTACAGACTGAAAAAATGTGTGCCTCTTCAGAAAGATCTGTAAAATGACATAAACAAAGCTCCACATTTGGTCTGGTACATTCACATTTCATTTTATTATAATATAGAAGCTGATTTTCTAACTCGGTACATCTCAGTGCAGACACGGCCAACTAAAGGCCGGAGAGAATGCCCCCCCTCTCCCGGGCACAGCAGGTACTCCTGTGCCGCCCAAGAGAAGGGAGCGCCCGGAGGGAGGAGGGGATGTTCCCACCGAGAGAAGGGGATTCCCAGTTTTACTTCATTGCTAAACTGACCTTGAAAAAAGTGCATTGTTAAGATAAAATCCACTTCCGAGATCTGACCTGTAACTTCACCTGCTGAGACACCTCCACGCTAAGAAGTTTATTTAATTTATTTATCTGTTGACTTATTTTAGCAGTATTTGGTTGCATCAGGTGTGTCTCTACAACCTCTAGTATACATGCAGTACACTCTGCAGCACAGGTACACTCTGCAGCACAGGTACAGTCACAGGTACAGTCACAGGTACAGTCACAGGTACAGTCACAGGTACACTCTGCAGCACAGGTACAGTGACAGGTACAGTCCATACTGACGCTGGGTGAGGGCAGCAGACAAGCAAAGCACACTTTCACACTTGTACTATAATTAAATCACACCTAAGTACATTTCTGTCCTAAATCAGATTTAAGTTGTAAAGTTTTGTTCATCATTTCATCAGCTCAGTACTTTTAAAATGAAAAAGAGCTGTACTTAAAATCTGTATGACAAAATAAAAGGAAGTGTACGTTAGATTTAGATTTTAAGTTTCATAAACTATGTCCCCTGATACAATGGAAACATCTTCACCATGTTCTCCATGTTGAAGAAGTGTACTGTCCACGTATTCTACACATGTTGGACTCGAGGATCAAATAATTTCATTTATAATTTGGTGTTTTGGTTCAAGGCGATTATCCAATCAGAAAGCAGAATGAGCCTCACATGCTCCTCCCTAAACCTCAGCACCTGCACCAGTCCTGAGTCAGTGCTAGTGCAGCCTCTGCAGCTCAGGGAGGGAATTCTGGAGGTTGTGAGCTTCACATGAGGCCTGGTCTGTCCATAAACTGAGAATGAGACACACTCTGTCTGCGTCTGTCTGCAGGTGAAGCCTCTGGAGACACAGGATCAGTTGGGATTGTAACACCTTCGTTAAAACGGAAAGAGCACAGGATACAAACAGTTCCTTTCATTATGCTCAACAATAGTTACTGTTTTACAATGTACTATTATCAGATTAACGCACTACTTTAATGTGTTTATGATAATTACCAATTAACACTTTGGCGTTGTAGTCCATTTACGCACAAACTGTACTTTGACTATGCTATGGAATGCACAACTTCTACTGAGTATTCCACCGACAAGAAGACATGGTGCATTCTCCCACCTCTGTCTCACAGACCGTGCTCAGCTTTGAGCGCTACACGTGTCCAAAAGTACCAGCGGCCGCGGAGATAAACAGTTCGATGTAATAGAGCTGTAAGAGAAAAAGCCCGTGAAGCCCCCGCGCCGCCACACCACCGCACTTCAGAGTTTACCTTTGCCTCGAAGTTGATCCCATGCTGAAACGCTTCCTCGTTGTGCAATGGTATCCTCAGATCGTGCCCATCGTCCACCAGGTTATACTTGGTTCTTACGGGCATTTTGGCTCATTAGTGGCGCCGCGACACCTTCGTGAGCCGTGCGACAAACAAACCCGCTCCAACGGAACCAATCCTACGGAGTAATCCCCAAAACGAAAGCTAAATCCAGCGATCCATGGCAGCCCAAGTCCCCGGATCGCAGCGCCGAGAAGGAGAGGTCCAAGAGGCGGAAAGGGGACTCCGTGGATCCCCGGTCACGCGGTGTGGCCCGGGTAAAATCCTCGGGGAAAGCCGTGAGAGCGGAGGAGGGCCAGGGCGCGCAGAGGACATGTGTTTTTGGCCACTTTTCTGCGAGGTGCGTCCTGAAGTTGGTTCGGACAGACACGGCTTTGGATTGGAGCAGAGACGCGCCGTGAGTCAGAGAGAGGGGCGGGCCGAGGCTCTGGGACATGCCTCTCCGCTCCAGGGAGACCAGGGCCGGGCAACAGCACAACCACAGAGCCCTGAAAACGGAACAAGTCAGGCCCGGTAAGAACTCAGAGATTTAGAATGAGACCAATGAGAGTGTGGCCAATAACAAAGACATGGTGCGTGTAACTGAGCATCGATCATAAACTAAGATGAAAACGTGTGGAAATCTATTTAAAGGCACGCTTAAGTCACTTTCTATGGGTGGGACGTCACCTGCGCGATACCATGGAAACAGAAAGTTAAAACAACAATTTGGAACATTCTCCATGGAGAGAGATGGGCCTCAGTTTTATGGCATAGGCCTCCTGTGGAATGCCAAAGGAACAATGAAAGAAAGACGATACTTTTCTACGTTTTTCAGTTTAATAAACACAACCAAACTGAAAACACATGCTTTTATTTTAGATAACTATTTTTGGCTAAATAAATCACATACTGTGGCTTTAAAGAGGATGATAGAAAGTCTACAAGTCTTTCAGATGTATTTGTCTGGAGATGTTGAGATGTCTTGCCATCTCGTTTCCGATGTAATGAGTCCTAGAAGTTATGAATTTAACCTTTTACAGCTCAGCTCTCATCTTATAGACAAAAATAACTACACAATTCACAATAATGCAAAGAAAAAAGTTCCCAAGATAAACACTGAGCCTAAAATGATCTAACATGTATTGAACGATCTAAGACGTTATTGCTGAACAGTTTGCAGCTCTGCATGCAGAGTATAAACCATTACTGTCTACACCAGTGGAAAAATACTAATGTTATCTGAATAAAACAGCACTGTGGGCATACACTGACAAAGGTTAAAGCCACAATATGTAACTTCTCAGACAAAAAAAAACAGACTCAAATAAAAGCATTTTTTTATTGCACTGACAAACATAGAAAAACATCATTACAAACTTCCTCCTGCTTGTTTTCATGGAAATGTTGTTCCTTTGGCTGTAATATTCCACAGTATGGGATGTATGAGATACTGTATCTAGCTCCATGGAGGATGTTCCAAAGTGTGGTTTTACTATTTGCACTGAATCACAAAGGTGATGTGCCTCCTCCAGAAAGTTACACACTGTCACTTAAATGGACCCACAGATCTACAGGAGAGCTGATGGGATAGTTAAAGTGGCATTTTAACCTTCTCTGTAAAGCAGCAGGCTGAGTCTGAAAGAAGACCCTGTAATGGTCACGTACTGGTGATGTTAAGTACTATGCTGCCATCTAGTGGAGTGAAGTTAGCAAACAGGCAACACTAGATCATTATCAGATTTCTAGATTTTTATTTCAGAATTCTGAAAATATTATCCACAATATTTTATATAAAATATAACATGTCCACACTTAGCTGCATCCAGAACCATGTCAGTTTTCTGGCTGCACAGTTCACACCCGTTGCCATGGATGCATAAACCACTTGTTCTCTTAAGTATATAATGATAATGTTTGTTCTTCTTTTCTGTCTCCTTGGTTGTTTCACTGCCCTTAATCTGCTCCACTTTCACTTGTTTGTTTCTTAAGTAAACTGCTGTACATGTGGATGAAACAGTGGGGTGGGGTTGCTGTTGTTTTTAATCATTGTAATTTTTCTGTTGCATGTGAAGCACTTTGTGCTGCATTTCAAATGTATGAAAAGTGCTATGCAAATAAAGTTTGATTGTTTGATTGATTTTCCCTTCAAAACTCCGTACAGTTTACCTATCCAGCCAGAACCACAGGATTTGACAAAACTTTACAAAGATGTGTGGATCTGGATTTCAGAGGGTGTCTGAAGTCAGGATGCTGCTCCAGGTCCACACGTCTTTGCAAAGTTTTGTCAAATCCTGTGGTTCTGGCTGGACAGGTCAACTGTACGGACAGACAGGCAGACGGGCAGATTAACCAATCCAATGTTTACACATAATTTTTTATTTTTTTTTAATCCGACATAAAGGACTGAGAAACAGTGTGGATATTTACAGAATCAACAATCAAAGCACCAAACTATGATTTATTTCAGGTAAAAGAAGTTATATATTTTCTCCCTAATGTTATGAGAAGTTTTGTGAGGAGATGTCTTCTGTATTTGAGAGGAACGTGATACAAATTAGTGGCTGTGGTTGGATTGTCTATAGATGTTTTTCAAGTTCTGTTGTCCAGTTCTAGTCCCTTCTGGATTTGAACAGAATGTAGAACGTCCTGGCTGCTTGGGCAAACATACAGCAGCTTCTATGTCTAATGGTACGAGCATGGCATGTCAAAGGCCTTTGTTGACATGCACACACGAGACAGACAGATAACACGCATCATCAACACACTGAGGCAGATCTCCACCATGTCACACACACTGTTTCCTCTCTCATCCATTTAAAAAAAGAGTGAAATGTTGAGCTCCACATCGGCTTGTTCTATCTCAGCCTGTCACGTCAACTTATCGTTCAATACAGACAGATGGAGCAGTCTTTTATTAACAGTATTGTAGATTTAGAATAGTTTTTGTGGTTTAAATCTGCTCTTGGGTTTTTGTGTCAGCAGCATACATTTGTTTCAGTATTACTGTTTATCATCTGTAATTACTTAAGCAATAAATCTCTCCACAGAATGTGTTATCATGATAATTTTCCGGGTTTTAGTTCCATCTAGAGCAGGGGTGTCAAACTCATTTTGGTCCGGGGGCCGTATCCAACCTACTTTGATCCCCAAGAAAACTCATGTCATATAAACCCCAAAAATAACAATAAGTTCAAATATTTGTTCTGAGAAACTCAAACCTATTACAGAAATCTTTTTTAATTGATTGACTCTTTTACAAAATATTACAATATTATTAACAACCAGAAACATTAATTTCAACACAATGTTTTAACATGAACTTGTATGCAAATAGGAAAAAGTATTTTTTTGGGGGGAAAATCCTGCACTTGGCTCCACTTTTCTCATGTTGGACATTTTTCTGATGAGGGTGTCACGGTCAACAGTCAAAACGATCGTCCTTTAAGAGCGTTTGGAAAGAGACAAGTCTTCATTTGTGCTGCTCTGGTGGGAGGGGCCACGTACAGAGACACTGGAGACGCTGCTGTGCTCAGCACCGCAGAAAATTACCAATATTTTAATAGAAAATATAAATAAAATATTTTAGTAGAAAATCAGACGAGGGCCAGATTAAAGATCTTGGAGGGCCAGATCTGGCCCCCAGGCCGTATGTTTGACACCTGTGATCTAGAGCCACAACAAGTTAATCAATTAATCGCAACTAATCAGTTATTGAAATAGTAGTTAACGATGTGACTAATCAAATAATCATTAAATGGTCCACACACAGGCTCCAACATACACCATGAACTGAGAGAAGATGTTTCACCACACACAAATCAGCATTACAAGTGTCACTTTAAAAAAAGGTACTAGAATAAAGTCCTAACATTTCGACAAAAGAGAATAAAGTCGTAGTTAAAATATCAAGATTTAGCGGCCAGCATCATTGTTAAATGCACATGAATATTTTGCCACTGCAAGCAGAGTGCAAAAGAAAGAAGCTCATCTGAGTTCAATGCTTCAATAAAAACAAGGATGAGTGTAGAACTTTATATCATGTCCCTGTTAAACTGTTGAGTTCTCTAGAATGCTACTAATCTCCATGAATTGTTCACTTGGCGTTGAGCTTTCTACCCTTCTTCTTCACACTTGTGTGCAGACTTGTGGCACCGTGTGCGTTCAGACTCTAGAGCTCATGTTTACACAGTCTACCTCTTCCAGTTTGATCTCATTATCTTTTAACGCAAAGTCTTTTGTAGTCACTTTGATTCAGCGTTGGCCCCTAAATCATTAAATGTTCACTTTGTTTTTGGTATAATTATGTTTTGTTGTTTTTTGGCTACGACTTCAATCTCAAAATATTACGACTTTATTCTCGTAAAATTCCAACTTTAATTTCATAGATTTTATAGATGTCATAGAGTCTGCATAATACCTGTTTTCAATGTGACACTTATACTTCTATCTTCATATGAATTAAACAACAAATTGCTAAATTAAAAGAATAATCACTAGGTTAATTGATTCGACTAGGGTTGCAGCCTTAAAGGTTGTATAGAGGATTTTCCAAGAAACGAGAAATCCAGCGACTGTTTGTCCTTTTTCAAATGTTGCGCATGCGTGAAACCACCCCCCCTCCCCTACAGCTCCCTACGTAGAAACACCTCCTCCTTACGCCAGAAACAGGTTTGTTTACAGCCGGTGCCCTGTACATGACTTGTAAACAACTAACTACAGTGTTGGTTAGGCAAGACGGAGAAGTGAGGAGCGGGGGGAGGGGGTGCGCGGACATTTTGTGCGCGGACGAGAAGTGAGGAGCAGGGAGAAGAGCGGAGCGGAGAGGAGAGAGGAGAGAGGAGAGGGGAGCGGTGCGTGGAGATTCCGTGCCCAGAGAAGTGAGGAGCAGGGGGAAGAGTGGAATGGGCAGCGGGGAGAGGAGCAGGAAAGGGGAGCAGAGAAGGGTGCACGGAGATTCAGTGCGAATGAACTAGCTACAACACGCAGCAGCAAGCGGACTCTTTCTTTGCCTTGAAAATTACGTTTTCAGACATAGGATATCGCTTTTGTGTCCTGAAAAACATTTGACTAGCTTTTGGAAATAAAGTAAGTTTTCATAATAAGCAGAAGTGACCTGTCCAGGAGTAATTTGTGGACCAGTGCGTCAGTCTTTAGTCCCTGCGTCTGCTTCAGTCGCGCCATCGCTGGAATGAATCTTCAAGAATCACCTTAGTTTGGCTTCGCTGCTTTTCCCCTTGTCTTCTTCTTTCAGCGACCTCAAAAACGGACTTTCTTTTGCGGGGAACTGCTCCTGGATTCTTGTCGCCATTGCAACAAACTTTGTGCGAACTGCAAGGAAGATATAGGTCAAAAAAAGCCGCTAAGAACTGTTGTGTT